GTTGAATATACCATGGACTGCAAGAAGAACAAACAGGTTTGTCCTAGAGAGGGTAAAGCCGGGCTGCTCCTTGGAGGCAAGGATTCTGAGGCTTTGTCTGACATACTTTGGGCATGTTGCAAGGAGGGACTGGTCCTCGGAGAGGGACATCAAGCTTGGTAGGGTGTAAGGACAGCGCAGGTGGGGAAGGCCCTCGATGAGATGGATCGATTCTGTGATTAGGTTGGTGGGATTGAGTGTGTTGGAGACTGCGAGGTTGGCACAGGATAGAGCAGGGTTTAGGGCTGTTGTACAAGCGATAACAACAACAACAACAACGATTTAGCATCTGCTCAGTGCTAAATTCTCAGTCCTGAGATGGGCTGTGCTTTCTGTTCACCTAGGAGTGACGTCCACTTCCTAAACCACACGCCTTCAGAAACTCTATGAACTTTGATAAATGTCGATGGTTGTGGAGGGGCTTCGGGCCTTTTGTTCATAGGGCCGCTATGAGTCGTGCTCTACTCAAAGACAGTCAACACCACCACCACCACCACAACAATGCACGGTAATGGGGGCGCAGGCATCAGGTGCTGGTCTTCTAACTGAAAGACGGGCAGTTTGAACCCCCCAGCTTTTCCACTGCAGAAAAGCGAGGATCTTTGCTACAGGAGAGATTTCTAGGGGGCTCTGGTGGCCTACTGGCAAGTAGCCGCACTGCAATACCAAAGGCAGGCGGTTCGAATCCACTAGATGCTCCGCTGGAAAAGGAGAGATATCTAGCCACGGAGACCCAGTGGGGCGCTTAACAGAACACTATTCTGTCCTACAAAGTTTCTATGAGCAGAAATGCCTCGATAGCAGTGTCTTTTAAGAACCTAAAAGCAGTTCAAATCCCCCAGGCACCGTGGAAGAAAGGCCTGGAGATTTGCTTCTGCAAAGCCTGCTGGGGCGCTCACTGGGGACCCCAGCTCAGAGCGACGGTGCATGTGTGGAGCAGAGCTGTCCACAGGCATGGAGCTTCCTGGGCAGATGCCAGGAGTGCTCATGGAGCCCCTGAAGGCTTCGAACCGTCACCCCTTTATTTAGCAGCTGGATGCTCTGCCATTGTATCTCCCCCTACCCACCCCCACCAAGAACACCCTCAGAGCACAGTCCTATCTGTGACACGGAGGGTCACCAAGAGCTGGAGGGCACTGGGTCTGTTGTGGGGCTTTGGGTGTCAAGCTCCGGTCCAGTGCACCCCGCTGGTGGGGTGGGGAAGGCAGGGTGCACGTGGAGATGTGCGAGGTCCTTCCTGACAGGGACACACGGGGCTGTGGGGGCATGAGAACAGGAGCTGGGGTGGCGGGTGCTCCCTGAGATGGTGGAGGAGCCCCCCTCCCCCTGACTGACAGTGCCCAGTGATGGACTAGCTGATTGGCCACTGGTCCCACCTCTGTGAATCTAGATCTGAGAGGCGAGGGGGGACGTGGAGAGACCAGAGCCTCAGTTCACTGATGGGAACTCAGGACGGTGCAGCCTGGCACTTTACACAAGGCACCACCAGAACAGAAAGAGAACCATCTATGGACACAGAAGGAGGATTCGTGGCTGCAGAGGGTTAGAACTTCCCGAGTGGGACAAATGGTTAAAGCGCCACCCGGGGGCAAAGCTCAAAGACTGGTGTTTGAATCTACCCAGGGGAGACCTGGAGGAAACCTTGGCCATCTGCTTGTCAAGCCAGCCACTGACAACCCTGTGGGCTTGGATGCCGTCCACTCTCCCTCCTCCAACAGCCACAGAGACCCTCACTGCTGCATGGCAGATGGAGAAGAGACAGAGGAAGGTCACCAGCTGAAGGTCACAGAGCAGCGCCAACAGGCAGGGTGGGAAGCAGGACTTTTAGATTTTTAATTCCCAGTCACCAAGGGAGCGAGGAGCCTCAGGAAAAGGACATGATCACAACCCTGGTGACTTTGGCCAAGGCTGTGGCACCAGCCCTGTCAGGTGGGGTGTCTAGGCCCCCATCCACTGAGGTCACAGCATGGCTGATGATAGCAGGCTCCCTCCACCTCGGCACCAGCCCTGTCAGGTGGGGTGTCTAGGTCCCCGTCCACTGAGGTCACAGCATGGCTGATGATGGTCATTCCCCTCAACTCAGACTCCGGATCCTTCTCCGGAGGGGGTAACCCTGTGACTTACAGGGTGCTGAGAGGTTCCCCTGGTCTCTGGCCCTTCCACGTTTGCAGCACTCCGTCTCCAAGCTGTCACAACCAGAAATGTCTCTAGACACCAGCCAACGTCCCCTGGGCTCAGACCTGCCACTGACCACTAAGGACTCTGTGTCCCAGGACCATCTGACATCCTAGGACTCTGCCCATGTTAAAAACCACATACTGTGAAGAGAGGTTAAAGGACAGATCACAGATGCTAAAGGGTCATTCAAATAAAACTACCCAATGATTAACTTCTTATTTCTTCCCCCCCACCCCCCAGGAGGGCTGCCACAGTTGCTGGATTCTCCTCTGCGTGAGGTGCCCTGTGCGCTGATCAACAGTTTCCCTGGTCTCTATTTGATGCCAGGATGACCACCCTGGCTGTGACACCACACAGTGTCCCCTGAGGGACAGAACCAACCCTCTCTTGTCCCACTTCTCAGACCAGGCATCCTTGAGGCTAGATGACTTCGTGGTGGTAGCTGTCTGGTGCCCTGTGGGAGGCTGTGCAGCATCGCGGGCCCCTACCTATGCCGGCAGCATCCTTGTCCCACGGAGACACCACAGATGGTTCTGGACTTCGCCAGCATCTCACAAAACCAACAATCAAACCTACTGCCAATGAATTAAATCCGGGTGACAGTGACTCTCTAGCAGGTGTCCCAAGCTGCAAATCTGTGAAGCAGACAGCCTCACTTTCCTCCTGGGGAGGGCCTGGTGCGTTCACACTGCCAGCCTCTGGCGGGCCACTGTGCCATCAGGACTGTTTTGGCCCCAGTCTCTGTCACGTTCTGGACCCCAATGGCCCTACAGAGCTCCCAAGCACTAGTGCTTCACCCTGGTTGAGTCCCCCTTCTTCCCTGGAGGATGGGGGACACCCCACTGCTGACCCACTCCCACTATACCTGGAATGGGCTTTTTTGGGGGAAGTCCGCGGTCCCTTGAACCAATATATAAATCCTCTTCTTGGCTAAAATGAGCTCCCGGCCCAGGCAGGACGCCTGTGCGTAGTAGAAGATGCGGCCAATTCTGCTGGTGAAGGTGGAAGGGAGCCTGGGAGGTAAGTTGAAATGGAAGTCAAAGGTGTGGCTGCCTGCACTTAACCAATTATCTGAAAGCGAAACACACCGATGAAGCCATCAGAAGGTTCTAGAATCTGCTTCCTCCCTCTTGTTCTCTCTCGGGGGTGATTTCTCCCTGCCTTCATTACTACTTTAGTGGGGCATCAGGTCTCAGTGGGCCCCGTCTGTCGCTGAGCGAAGCTGACCTCTCTTGGACCAGCAGGACTGTTTCACTCAGGGTCTCAGAGGCTGTTTCCGGAAGCAGATAGCTAGGTCTCTCTTCCGAAGCACCTCTGGGTAGACTGGGACCAGAGGCCAGCTTTGGTGATTAGCTGAGTGAATTCACTGTTTGCACCAGCTAGAATCTGCTCTGGTGCCAGAGAGACACACAGTATTAGCCCTCAGCTGGGCTTGATAGGAGTAACCACCAAGGAGGGTGGGCACCCAAACCACCAGGCTGGAGACAGGGGAACCCGGGCAGCTAGTCTTTCATTTACCCAGCAAACACCTAGTAAGTGCCTATTGCATACCAGGTGGCATTTCATGCCGTGTTTACAGCACTAAGAAAGGCAAACTACCTGCCCTCACATAGCCCAGCTTCTGGCCCATGGTATACAGCAGGTGCTCAGATACAGACTGACTGAGTGAACCAGGAACACCCCATTCCTGGGACCTTCCTGCTTGCATTTCTCTGAAACCCTCTTATTTGATACAAGTTCTGTCCACCAAGCAGCAATCTCAAAGATAGCAGTTTTTTGGCTTCTGAATGAAGGCCAGTGTTGGTGGAGTAGACCCCCAATGTCCCGGTGTGAGGGATGGCGATTTGGTGACCAGCCCAAGAGCTCTGACATTAGGACATTTAGGAGCTCTTTCTGTATGCCTGGCACTACTCTCAGCACTAACTCAAAGCAAGTCATGGACGACAGCAAGTCGATGCCCACACGCAGTGGGTAACCCTGGAGGACGGAGCAGAGGTGACTCATAAGCTCTGAGGCTGTGTACCACTAGGGATCACAGCATCTTCCAGGGACGGCTCAGAATCTTCACCTTGAGTGTCTGTTCTCGCCAGCTCCTCATGAAAACCACTCTTAATCTTTTCCTGTTTGTACCTGATGCTCACTGTTCTACACGTCTTTCCTTCTGGGCTACCACTGGGCCTCTGTCAACCTCTGGGTTTTTGACTGGGGCTGGCTGCAGGCCACATCCTCACCTTCCACCGGGAACGTCTTGGTCTTGTGCATGTAGTCAGCTTTGTTGTTGCAGATGACACCCCTGCTGTAATCGAGGGTGGCCCCGGACTCCTCGTTCCACTCCACGTAACCTCTCCCCACAAGCTCCACCTTCACTATGGGGTCCACCAGGGTGCTGTTCAAGGTAAGGATCACCTGCCCTTTTAGGCTGGAGCCGGCCAGATAGATGGCATCCTTGGGCAGCACTAATTCGATCGACTTCACCACAGACATGGGGGGTTGGGGTGGTAGAGAAACATCCTGCCCCCCTCTCCCCTGCCATTGAGCTCCCTGGTTCCTTGGCTGCAGTGAGGTCACCCATCTGTGACATCATTCCAAGCAGGGTTCCGGGAAGGGAGACCCAATGCCTGGAGGATGAGGACGGGAAGTTATTTCAAATAGCCACAAGCACTTCATCCTTCCCCCTTGCCCCCCCACTGGATTTGAACTCATGACCATTCTCACTCTCCTTTTCCATGTTGCTCTTCTCATTAACATCAATTCATGGCCCCTGAAGGTCCCTACCCAGCACTTGTCATTTTCACCCGTTTAAAAACCTTTATACTAGGGAACTCTGGTGGCCTAGTGGCAAGACGCTGCACTGCAATCCCAGAAGTAAGCGGTTCAAATCCACCAGATGCTCTGCTGGAGAAGGAGGGGGCAATCTCCTCCTATACCAATCAGATCTGATTTGACGGTACACGTACAAATAATACAACAAAAATAAAAAAAAATTAAAAAAAACCCAAAACCTTTATACTTAGCTCTGGCCAGAGGTTCCAACGTACTCGGTCAGGCCTGGTTGCACCCCAGACCTGCCTCGGGAAGGTCACAGCACACGCAGTTCTTTTCTTCACCTACAGGGTCTCCTGAGTCCGGAACCAACCCACAGGCCCGACTCTCACAACAGAAGCATCCCGCAGTGCTTGCCCTCCACAACTCTACTGTTGACCCCTGCTTCAATCTGCTACTTCCCTCCTGCCCCCTCCCCGGGGATTCTTTTCCTATGATGACATGAAATGGAGCAAGTAATACCAGGGCCAACAGAGAAGGGACCTGGCCCAGGGCTACAGGGAGCTTGCAACTAAGAAGTCAGAGCTCACCCCTTCCTTCCCTGCTCATGGTCTTCCTGGGCTCCCAAACACAATGGCCAAAGTCCGTCTGGTGGCCTGTGAGGCCTCAGGGGACACCTCTGTGCTGGCACCGATCGCACCCTCTCCTCGGCGGCTGGATCTGCCCCGACACCTCGAAGCCCTTCCCAGCCTCCTTCCTTCCTGAGAGGCGCCGCCACCCCAGCAGAGTGCCGCCCTGCCTGCCACGTGGACTGGCGGGGACTCGGCAGCCATTGTCCTAGCACGAGACAAGTGGCTGAAATTCTCCGCTTTGTCACTCCTTGTTGTCCGCAGATAGAATTTCGTCTCTCCGCGGCCGGGGACTGGGTATGCCTTGCCCATTACCAAGCCACAACCTCAGGCCTGAACGACCTGTGTGTTTGAAGTGTCACGCATGGTCACTGAGTGCCCGCCTGGACTGGCCAGAGCGGAGCAGGCACGGTGGAGGGGGCAGGGCCGCTGGACTGCCTGGACAACCTTCCAAGGCGGGAAAATAAGGGGGGAGCCTAGCAAGGCCGCCCTGCTGTGGGTTGGGTGGGGAACCTGTGGGGCCCTGACAGCTAGGAGTGGGGCTGGAGACCATCAGGCAGGAACTGGAGCAGATGGAATAGTGGAAAACTCACTTTCTCCCGCAGTATTTACATATAGATTCTGGCCTTTCCGGGGAACTGAAAGTGTGAGAACAGACCTAAGTGGTTAGGGGCCTTTCCCTGGAGGGGGTCACTAGCCCGAGGGCCTTAAAACTGTCAGGAGCCACGCCTGGGGATCCAGGCCACCCCATCGGGCCTGCTGCTGCCCGGGTGCGCCCAGCAGAGCCCGCGGGGCGGGGCCCCGGCGGGGGGTGGACAGAGACGGGGGCGTCCCCCACCTCCTTCCTCCCTTCCCGCCACTGCGACGGCCAATCACCGAGCAGGCGCCCTCCTCCAGCGCGGCCTCCTGCAGACCCGCAACTCGTAAAAGAGGCGTTTTCGCGGGAAGGAAATCAGAGCTGCTAGCATCGCGGAGAGGAGCAGTGGACGGCAGGACACTCCGGGTCTGCACAGGTCTACGCGGCTCTACGCCAATCTCAGCCCAGTCAGGGACGCAGAGAGGCCAGCGAACGAATCCAAAACGGGTCGGCAAAGGAGGTGAGCGAGAGAGCCGTCGCCGGGGGCCGAGCGGGCCGCAGAGGCTGGGTCCCTCCGGCCGCGGGCACTTTGCAAAACTTCCCCCGCACGGCTGCCCCACGCCGGAGCCGGGCAGCCCTGCACGCCGCCCCGGGACAGGGCCCTTCCCGGCCGGTGCTGGGACTGGGAGCCCCACCGAGCAGCAGAGCTTTTGCAGAGCCCGGCGGGGGTCGAGCGAGCGGGTGGGGGAGGGCCCGGCGGGCCGCGGGGGAGGATGTCAGGCTCTGCGCCTGCGCGCAGAGAGCTTCGCGATTCAATTGTCGCGCCTGAGCCCGATTTTCGCGCGCCCTGGGTTCCCCGGACGCGTCTGGGCCAATGGAGAGCGAGTGGGGCGGGGCGGCCGTGCGCTCCGCAGCCAATGAGCGAGGCGGCTCAAGTGAAGCGGGCGGGACGTGGCGTGCGAGTCCCTTTGGCCGTCCCGGCGGTGGGTGTGGGCGTGGGCTCTCCGGAGGGGCCTGCGGGGGCGGGAGGGACAGGGGGGTCGGGGCCCAGGGTCTGAAAGGCGCGAGTCCGCGAGTTCTGACTCTCCGCGCGAACCTGGTCGCCGCTGCCACCCAGGGCCGAGGTGAGTGGAGTGGCGGCACGCGCGGGGGCGGCCGGGACGGGGTGCCGGGTTACCATGGTCACCGCGGGCTGGGCGCGCGTGCACGCGCCTGGGGAGGGCGCTCCTTGGGTGCTCAGGGTTCGCGTGAGTGCCTCCCGAGGGACCCCCTCCACTCTCTACTGACTTCCCGGGGGACTTCGGAAGTTCCAGCTTACACTGGACTTTGGGAATTCCCTCTTCCGTCAATACCGGTTGGAGGAATGAATGAACTAACGAACTTGGCGGCTGCTGGCTGCGTGGGCCGCTCTTTGCTCGCTGGACGTCAGTCTGCTGGGAGTGGGAGTGGGGGGGCGATCAGAGACCCTCTGGTCTTCCCCGCCTCTGCTGGTCATTAATTCATTAATGCATTCATTCACTCCTTAGTTCCCTCTCTGGCCTTGTCCCAGGTACATCCACCTCTAAGACCCTGGGGTGGGGTGGTAAGAAGTGCAAAGGTTTTTCCTGGAAATTTCTTGGCCACCCAGCTATACAAAAGCAAAGGCTGGGCACTAACGGTGGGACTGACCGCCTGTGTCCTCCTCTCCCCCCCCCCAGCACCGTCATCATGTGGATCCATGTACGCACCATGGATGGCAGGGAGACCCACTCGGTGGACTCGCTGTCCCGCCTCACCAAGGTGGAGGACCTGAGGGTGAAGATCCAGAAGCTGTTCCGAGTGGAGCCCAGTATGCAGAGGCTCTTTTACCGGGGCAAGCAGGTAAAACAGCCTCCCGGCTGCAGGTCACCTTTGTTCTCCCTGGGGTCCCTGCCCCGGGCCGCAGCCTCAGCACTTCTCCCCCCCATCCGGCCTGCTTGAGTCTCCCGGAAGGAGAAGTCCACAGAAACCTCAAATGCTCGCCCAGGCCCCGGGAACAAAGGCGCACCTCCCGAGCCTCGCAGACCGACCCGCCAGGCTGGCTGGCCCTGTGGGCTCTGGCCTCTACAATAAAATCTTGAAAAGACTCCTTTGAAAAGACTTATCAGAGCCACAAGTTGGGGGTGGGGGGGAGGCAAGAAGGTGCAAGAACGAAAGGCCTTCTTGGCGATGGTCAGCAGACACAGGGTGTCTCTGTAAAGAAAGCACGCACCACGATCAGGCTGCCCCTGGAGCTCTGCTTTCCAGGATCCCCTCTGACTTTACCCTGCAGTGCTGACGCCCGCTAACTTCCACCACTCAGGTCTGCACTGGACCGGCCCTGGCGGTCTGTGCCCGCTCAGGTTACGGCCACGCGTCCTTGTGCAGTTCGACCGTCACACGAGGTGGCGAAGTTGGAACCTAGGCAGTAGCCGTCATTAAACGACTCAGAGTCAGGGTGTGTCCCCTTGGGGTGGGAGGTTTGCGGGATCCTTCCTGTCCCAGGCTCTGCTAGCGTTTAAAATGGCCACCCCTGCTCATGGAGCAGTTTACTGTTGGGACACTGTCTCCAGCGCTGAGGGTGGGGGGTGCATTCCATTGCTAGTGGTGTCTGTGGGGACGGTGGGGCCCCACTGTAAGGGAGAATTCCAGGGTGGGATAAGAGGGCACGATGGAGTGAGTGCGCCTGGCTTCCAGGCAGTCCAGGACCGCGGGGTGGGGACTGCGGGGTGGGGACTGCCCGAGTTGAAAAGTAGTCAGTAGCCTGGTGGTGCGGCCAGCGTTGTGGCACTGTCGGCGGGCACTGCTGCCCTCTGGCGCCTGCACAAGTGCATGCAAGCTGGCGAGCCTGGCTGGGGTGTCTGGGGCTCAGGGTCCTGAGCTGATGATGGTTGCAGGCCCCCCCTCCTCCCCAGGAGACCTTCCTCAGCACCCCCTCCTGTAGGCCAGATCATGAATTAAACGCCTGAAGAATTTGTAGCAGCGCCCTGCCCGCCATCCCAGGCACTGGAGGATTTCCCTGCAGCCACGTGGCTTGTCAGCTCCGGAGATGGGTGTGCGGGGAGGTGGGGCTGGGTATGCAGGGGTGCCTGGGGATGGGCTTTCTCCCCAGGTTGCTCTTCTTCCCTCCCCTTCCCCCTTTTTCACTCTGTCATCTTCATCGATCTCGAACTTGATCCTCATATTTGTTCTTCTTTCTGGTGCTCTTCCTCCTGGTTTTGGCTCCCACGGAGCTGATTTCTCTTTGCTGCTCTGTGTGTGAGTGTTAGGCACAGCGTTCTGCGGCAGACTGGGTGTGCCCTGGAGTTCCAGGGTGAAGCTTGTTTTCTCCTGGTTCCCTGGTTTGTGCAGGCTTCCCTCATCTCTTCCGACTGTGTTTCCATTGTCTGTCTTTTGGTGGGTGCAGACAGCCGGGGTCCCAGATGTCAGGGTGAAGAACTTTTGGGGGGTGGTTCATTTCAAAGCAAGGGTGAAACTCAAACCCCCTCAACAATGGAGTAAAATTTTTGAGTGCTAAGTACATCTTACATTTTTGTTTTCTCTTTTTTGGAAGTTGGATCCTACTGGCACAGAAGGAAATTGCCCCTCCTTCTCCAGCAGAGCATCTGGTGGATTCAAACTGTGTACCTTCAGGATCGCAGTGCAGCTTCCTGCCACTAGGTTCCTTTGTTGTTTTTATTTTTTTTATAAGGGAAGATTTCAAACATGGCAAACAGTTGCAGGAAGCGTACACACCTAGGCTCTCATTATGTAGATTTTAGCCCACGGCCAGCTTGTCACTAACAAAGACCCTGTGGCAAAGGTGAACTGTGTTCCAGGTTTTCCTTGTTACTGCTGAGAACGTACACAGCAAAGCACGTGCTGATCGAGCAGTTGCTGCCAGCAGCATTTGGTGACAATAATTCTAGGATTTTTCAGTGACTGGTTGTTTTTTCAGAAGTAAATGGCAAAGGTACCCATAGGTGATGGATGATAACCCCCGCCTTCAGGCAGCCACCAAGCACCACGCTGTGCCCTGTGGTTCTGAGGAATGTGCAGAACACCAAGTTCAGAGGCCAGGACGCAGTTCCCCACTGAGGGCTGTGATGGGGTGCGGGCGGGGGCAGTGGTCAGCTTGCTGAAAGGAAGCAATGCCTTTTCCAGTGGGTGGGACACGGGTTGTTTTTATAGAAGATTCTAGAAAGTGGATTCAATTTTTCGTTCTTTAGAAAGCAATGTCACGCAGTAATACGAGGCTGGCCACGAGGTGGTCTGGGGTCAGAAGCCGCAGTCTGTCTCCGGCCTCGGGAAGCCTGGGCGGGCGGCAGGCCCTGCTCCTTGGGGTAAGCACAGGCGCCGTGTGGGGGCAGGGACCCAGCAGCAGGCCCAGCCTGGGCCAAGGCGGGAAGCATGTGGCCATCTGGCGCCTCTCTCGGCCGCCCGGGACAATAACAATGGCTGTCATCTCTGGTTCCTTTATCTGGCTCAGGTAAGAGGAAGGGCGCATGTCGTCCCCCTGAAAGAGCGCCCCCGCCAGGATGGCTCTGAATCTGCTCACCTTGTCCCCAAATCCTGGCTGATGCGGGGTCAGGGTCTGGGATAACATCCCCGAGCTTTACCCAGGAGCACCCCTAAAGTTAGGACAAGAACCATTATCTCCTGGGACAGAATCTGTGAGGTTCTGGTTGGGAGCTGCTGACCTGGCAGCCTCAGCTCATGGCCGCTTCTCAGCAGGTCCAGCCTGAGGGTGCCTCCCCCAAGTTGTAAAAAGCCCAGAGAACCCTGGTGGCTTAGCGCTTAAGTGCTCAGCTGTGAATTCCAACTTTTAACACGTTGCCGCAAACGACGGCAAAATGTGTTTCTAAGCACGGTTGTCAGTTTACAAGTGTGCGGTAACGTGTTAAACCAGTCTGTGGCTTCACAGGGGAAAGACCTGTAAAGGGTCCCCAGGAATCCTGGGGCCATTCTTGGTCCAGCTCTGGGTGCCTCCTGTCTACACTGCAGCTCGAACAGGGTAGAAGTAGAGGGTGTGGCCGCAGGCCAATAAAACTTCCCTGATCTCGCTGTCTTCCTGAAGGAGCAGAATTCTCTCTGCCCACTCGATCCCAGGGCACTCTACCCCAGGGCTCCCCCAGGCTCCCGGCTCCGCCCGGCGTGTAGAGGCGTCAGTGGTGGGATTCCAGGCAGGGAACACTCAGGAACAGGCCTCTGGCAGCACTGCTGCTGGGAGTTTTCCCGACGTTTCTAGGGCAGTGGTTTCCTTAGCACACTTGAGATGGGTTCTGTTCACGTGGATTCCACCTCCCGATTTTCCCTGTGTCAGGATGTGGTGTTTGCGGCACTAGTTTGATCCTGGACTCCATCACTGTGGTGACACTGGGCGCACAGCTCCCTCACTCTGGCCTCCCAGGCTCCTCCCTCGTGAGCCCAGGTGCTGGAGCATTGCTTCCGGGGCTGCTGGGGTTTCCTGGGTCATGTGTGTGGTCGGGTGAACTGTGTTTTCCGACGTTGCCTGCAGTCTCTGTGGACCCGCTCTTTCCCTGCTTCCTCTCTGGGTGCCGCACTTCACTCATCTTTCTTGCCCCTTTTTGCCTCTCTGGCTTTGTGGGCAAATTCTTACGCTCGGTAGGTTCATCCCAGATAGAACTGTCCACTGTTCCAGGGGCGGCCCCAGCAGCCTGTGAAGGGCCACGTCCGGGGAAGAGAGGGAGAAAGTGAGAGCGTGTGTGTTCCCACCCGGCAGTCTGTCGGCACTGAGGCCCGGCGTGTCCGGTGGTTCTGGAGTGTATTCTGTCTTGGGTTTACTGCCCACTCTGCCACCTAGGAGCTGGCCACACGGGCGGTCTGGAGCCAGGCTGGTGGGGCTGTGGTTTGCGTGTCTGGTCCGTCTGGTCTGACTCTGATTATCTTCACTCTTTGCTGCGTGCACCTCCAATGGTGATCCTCCACCAGCAAGTTAACTAGGAGGCTGAGCCCGGCGGTTAGTGAGGGTGAAGCTGGTGAATGGGTCAGAGGAGCCATCCCGGAGCTGAGATGTGAACTACTCCAAGAGTAAATGCCTGCTGAGAGTCAAGTTACCTTAGGTTCCAGTCAGTGCCTGGTGGTACCGTGCTGAGTGCTCAGCTGTGAGCTGTCGGCTGTGTGTGGTGTGTCCTCCAGGGTGGCTCTGACTCGGGGCAGCCTCCACGTGCAGGGTGCGGTCCAGCGCAGAGCACCAACGTAGGGCTTCGCATTGCTCAGTGACAGTAGTGTCCTCGCTCACGAGTCAGGACCACCCTGAGGTCTATAGAATGTGCCCGTGTGACGGGCCCGTCTTCCTGTCCCTGCAGATGGAAGATGGCCACACGCTCTTTGACTACGACGTGCGCCTGAATGACACCATCCAGCTGCTGGTCCGCCAGAGCCTGGGGCTGCCACTGGGTGCACGGCCACTGTCACCCGCGCCCAGCCTGTCCACATCCTCCAGCAGCAGTCAGGAGCGAGACTCGGAGCTGTCTGACACCGACTCTGGCTGCTGCCTGGTCCAGAGCGAGGCGGAGAAGTCCAACGACAGCGAGGTGGCCTCGGAAACCAACGTCCGTGTGGCCGAGGGAGGCGAGAGCGAGGACAATGACATGGGCGAGGAGACTCCAGACCTTGGTCTCTACCAGGTGAGCTCCTGGAGCAGGCTGGGAGTGGACCCTCCCATCGCCAGCACCACTGGGCTGCCCGGCTTTCGGTCACTGGGGTCAGTGCCTCAACCTGTAGGGTGTCAGAATCAACCACTCGCGGAACAGCTTGTTATGAGCCAAATCCTTTTCTGCGTCTTGTGTCTCACTGGGCCTGAGCTTGGGGTTAGCACGCCAAGAACTTCCAGCCTTTTCAGGGACTTAAAATTTGAAGCAGAGGCAATCAGAGAATTTGCTTGAGCTTAGTTAGGGGCTGACCCCACTGTTTTAAAGCAAAACTCCTAGTGGGTTCTTCCAGGGTCAGTCACAGTCCTTTTTTTTTTAAATTTTTTTAAAAATTATTTTTTGTGTGTGTACCGTTGAATCCATGGATACCATGGACTGCTAGGAAAACAAACAGATTCATCCTGGAAAGGGTTAAACCGGGTGGCTCCTTGGAGGCAAGGATTCTGA